CCCGGCTGGCTGACGAAGGTGGTGCGGAAGTGGGGGGCGATGGCTGGGGGGGGGGGGGGGTGGGGGGGGGGGGCAGCCATCAGTGCACCGAGTCCCCCCGGCCTCTGCCAGCCCCGAGCCGGCACGGGGTGGGGGGCGCGGGGGGGCTTTACCCAGCATGAAGAGGATTTCCACGCACAGGTCACAGGCGCTGGGGGGGCCGCGGGCGGCTGGCAGCCCCTCCTCGCTGCCCGCGCCCACGCAGACGCTGTAGGGGACGGTGACGGCCACGTAGAGGGTGGCGAGCAGGATGAGCCCGTCCCAGCCCGCCTTGAAGGCCCCGTAGTGCAGCAGGATGAGGGGGGGCTTGCGGATGGCGGCAACCTTGTACTCGGGCAGCGAGGGCTTGTCCCCGAAGACGCCCTGATGGAGACAGGGGTCAGCCTCGATGCCCTGTCCCCTGCCCCAACACACTGTCACGAGCATGGCCGTGCTGTCCCCAACCTCAGCACCTTGTCCCCAGCTCTTTCCTACCCCTGGCCCCAGCCTGGACAGCCCGAACCCACACACCGCATCTCCAGCCCCTTCCCTGTCCAGCCCCGGTGTCCCCAGCCCCGGCACCTTGTCCCCAGCCCCGGCACCCTGGAAAGCCTGCCCTCAGCCCCTGTGTCACCACCTCCATGGCATCGGCCTCTTCCCAGCCTGGCCACTCCGTTCCCCGCCAGGATGCCCTGTCCCCAGCCCTGACTCATGTCCCCAGCCCCGACACCTTGTCCCCAGCCCCGATTCGTGTCCCAGCTCCACCTTTCTGAGCTTGTGCTTGCTCTTTCTCTGCCTCTGCAGGTGCCCCGAGAGGTGGTACAGCACCGCCCGGCTCCGGCGCCGGCTGGCATTGACCTCCCCCCCGGCCCGGGGGACCCGCCGCCGGCGCCCACCTGCCCGGACAGAGAGGGGGGACGTCGGTGGCAGAGGCCAGGGGGGCTGCAGCGGGTCCCATCGCTCCTTGCTGTCCCCTCACCCATGTCCTTCGTGCTGTCGGCGCCCGAGCGGCTCTTGCTGCTGGTGATGTCCTTGTGGGACACGAGGAACAGGGCCACCTCGTCCTTCTCGTTCTTGATGGGCACCACGTCCAGCAGGCACCAGAAGGGGACCCCTGCGGGGGACAGCACACGGGCTGGCGGGGCGTCCCCCCCGGCGGGGCTGCGGAAGGGACCCGGCCGTCCCCGCTGCCACCCACCGCTCTTGCGGTAGAGGATGAGCTCGCCCTTGAAGGCCTGGTGCTGGTCCAGCGCGCGGCGGAGCTGCTGCCGCAGCAGCTCGCTGGTGGCGGGGCCGTAGAGGAAGGAGCAGGCGCAGCAGCGCTGCATCACCTCCGCCCGCGAGAAGCCCGTCAGGTCGCAGAAGCCGTCGGAGCAGTAGACGACGGGGAAGGCGCTGGGCACCTGAGGAGCAGGCGCAGCAGCGCTGCATCACCTCCGCCCGCGAGAAGCCCGTCAGGTCGCAGAAGCCGTCGGAGCCGTAGACGACGGGGGAGGCGCTGGGCACCTGGGCATTGCCCAGCACGAAGTTGCTGTCTGCGAGGGAGAGGCGGCTGGGCCGGGGCGCGGGGAGCCCCTGGGGCAGGGGGAGCCCG